TATTTAATCAACTACACCTCAATACCGAATCAGTTGGGACAATCCTTATGCATCAAATTCTTTTACATTGTCGATGTAAAGAGTTTAAACTCTGAATTAATATGTCACAGGCATGGAGGAACTGGCGCGAAGGGACAGCTATAAATTTGATAGACCCCATTTTGACGGGAAGCTCAGGACTTGTTCCTGATATAATGAGATGCATCCACATTGCTTTATTGTGTGTTCAAGATAATATTGGTGATAGACCAACTATGGCTGCAGTAGTTCTCATGCTCAGTAGCCTCTCTCTGAGTCTTCCCGTGCCTTCAGGGCCTGCATACTATACAGATGACGACATTAGCCCAGAGATTTCGCTTATTCAAGATCATCAGAACCTAGAGAATTAGACAAAAGCAAATCACTTTGTTCATCACCAAAAATGAGGCATTTTATATCTTTGTTATCATCCTTACACATTATAATAGCCTTCTTTCCTGAATTACTTTGTTATTTATTAATGGTTTTTGTGATCCAACTTGTTTCATATATATGTATTACTAGTTATTACACTAGTAAAAATGGTGAAAAGTTTCAACCAGTCCTGTAAATATATAAACCATTGTTTGTTCTGGTGAAAACTTAGCTTTGATTTTCAACCCATATTTGCTTAACCCGCCCGTAATAAATACATATTCAACCTGCCCATTAAAAAAGTGGGTAAATTAAATATGGATTAGCTCATTTTCAACCCCCAATAAAATGAGTGAAACGGGTTATAAATTTGTTTTAGTTCCAGCCGCTAGCTTAAATTTGTTTTCCATGCCTAACAAGATAAATAATTATCATTCAATTAAGTTTAATACTTCTAAGTATCCTACGAAATATTGTCCTACTTAAATTAATTGAATCACGACATATATTTTGAAGATTTCCCTTCCTCAGTAATTGTCTTATTTGTCTAAACGAGATTGCAGTGTCCTGCTTGATGAGTTCTTTTTCTTTTTTATTATTCTATTATTTTGTTAAAACAGTTTCCATAAAATTAATTAATCAATATAATATAATATTAAGAAAGATTAAATTAGTCTTATCATAATTATTTATTATAATTTTAAGATTAGTGTTAGGAAACTAAACTAGGAGAGAACGGATTGCCCATTTGTATTGAATTAAAAAAAATAGTTTTTAAGTCAAAAATAAAAAAGTCAATCTGAAATGACTCTTAAGTCAAAAAATATAAAGTAGAGGTGACCTACTTTTGATTTTTGACTTATTTTAAGTCATTTTAGACCTTGCCAAACACTTTTTAACTTATTTTAAGTTATTTTTTATATTTGTCAAACACTTTCAAATTAAAAAAAACTGACTTAAAAATAGATTTAACCAACTTTTAAATCAATCAAAACATCTTTGAGAAGTCTCCAAATTTATTCCTAAAAAAATAGAAGAGTACCTAATCATAGATTAAAAGAATTTTGATGGGATGACTTTTTGGTGGAACTGAGGAATAAAGAACTTTCACAAAAACGCGTTTTTTGAAAATTTTCCCACTCCCATCCTTTTCGGTGTTGTATTTTTTCGTAAACCAAAAAGTCAATAGTCAATCTTTGAAATAAATAAAGAGAATTGATTATGGAAATTTTGAATGTATAGCTAACAATTCTATTTATATATTTGTGCTTGACGAGTTTAGTTTTGCGTAGACGATGGGGAACACAGCTATGAGTTTGTTGAAACGGCTGGTCATTTTACTGTTCCAATTTTATTACCTTTTCGATCTCAGCATAGGCCAGTCTAATTTCACTTCTTCTGTATGTAGTACAGATTCTAATATTACTGAGTTTTCCCCAAATAGTGCATATGACACTAACCTTAACACAATCCTCTCCTCTGTTTCGCGAAATATGGATAGTTTTGGATTCTATAATTCTTCCATAGGCCTAAACTCCGACACGGTTAGTGTCATCGCCCAATGTAGAGGAGATGTACAATTACAGGCATGTCGTGATTGTATAACTAATGCGACTCGTAAGATTCTAGAGGTATGTCCTTACAAGAGATGGGCCATTGGTTATTATGATCGTTGTATGCTACGATATTCAAATGAGTCCATCATAGGCAACGTTGCAAATCAACCAGGAAGAGTTTTATCTAACGGGCTAAATGCCTCGAGTTCCGATGAGTTTATGGGAGATCTAAGAACCTTGCTAGAAAGTTTACGAAGTCAAGCTTCACAGGGCGGTAAGAAGAAGTATGCTAGTAATAGTACTCAGGGTCCTGATTTTCAGACTATATATGTACTTGTACAGTGCACTGCGGATTTATCAGCTGAAAGTTGCATCAATTGTTTAAGCGCTGGCTATCAAAGTTTACCTCGCTGTGCATGTTATGGTAAGCGGGGTGTCAATTTTATGATGCCCAGCTGCAATTTTCGGTATGAAATTTACCCCTTTTTCGACGAGCTATCAACCCAAGCTCCACCACCCTTATCACCACCGCCACCTCCATCACCGCTGCCACCGCCACCATCAGGTAACTGAAATCTTTATGAATTGTTAGCAACTTCAACTCTGAACTAAAGGTGTGTTTGGCTCGAAGGAAAATGCTTTTTATGGATTAGAAGACTTTTAAGGCTGGTGATATTAAATATATCTTAACATCTTGTTATTAAAGATAAAATGAGAAGTTTAAGTAAATTGTTTGCAAATTTATAAAGTGATAATTATTTTAGGAATGGACACAACAAAAAGGAAATAGGTTCAGATAAACTAAAAACAAATACTCACTTGAAGAGTTCCTGCAGGAAAGGATGATAAAACAACTCGAACCATCATCATTATCGTTGTGCCAACTGTTATAGGTGTTATTCTTATTGTCTGTATTTCTGTCATCTTGATGAGGAGGCGAAGAAGGAAGCTAGTGAATGATATTCAGAGTAAGCCGTCGATTATTAACAGCAATGATTAAGTGAAGGTTGAACTGTTAAGACCATGTCTCACTGAAATTTTGTTGTATGTTTTTACTACTACTTTGATGAAGGTATACACGGTGATGATATTAGCACTGCAGAATCCTTTCAATATGATTTTTCAACAATTAGAGCAGCAACAGATAACTTCTCAAGCGCTAATAAGTTGGGACAGGGCGGATTTGGTCCTGTGTACAAGGTGATTGCTGATTAGCCTATTTGATGCATAAAAGGAAACTGTGACTTCATATAGCCGACTCTAATTTTGTTCAACTCATAATTTTTCAATTTGCACTCGTATTCTTCAGGGTAAGCTTCCAAATAGTCAAGAAGTAGCAGTGAAAAGATTGTCAGCAGATTCTGGCCAAGGTGATCTGGAATTCAAAAATGAGGTCATGTTGGTTGCTAGACTTCAACACAGGAATTTGGTTAGGTTGCTGGGATTTTGCCTTGATGGAACAGAGAGACTTCTTGTCTATGAATTTGTTCCAAATGCAAGCCTTGACCAATTTTTATTTGGTATGCATTGCTTAATGTTTTGTCAGTATAATTTATTATGTTGCCTGTCGTCTAGCTATCTGCCTTATTTTCTGGAGAACTAATTCCACTTGTTACAGGTAGTTACATATAGTAATAGTGACTTGATGTTGCAAAATTCTGCTATATTGTCTGTGTATAGAAGCTCAATTCATTATTATATATTTCATCTTGTTCCCAGATCCAGTTAAACGTAGGCAATTAGATTGGGAAAGGCGATCCAAAATCATAGGAGGCGTTGCTAAGGGAATTCTTTATCTACATGAGGATTCTAGACTTCGCATCATTCATCGTGATCTCAAAGCAAGTAATGTTCTACTTGATGAAGAAATGAATCCTAAAATTGCAGACTTTGGCATGGCAAGGCTATTTACATTGGATGAAACTCAAGGCAACACAAGTAGAATTGTCGGGACCTAGTAAGTTTTACATCTCTCAATATTATATAAACTGTTACTCCTTTTTCAGTTCACTGGGAAGGACTTTTAACCATTTAACCAGATTTAAAAGCAGCCTCAAGACAAAAGCAAATCATTCCTTGAAATAAATGTTTCAATATTGTTGGACTAGGACTTTTGGGATGTCTAAAATTTAACTTATTTGAGATGTATGGTCAGATACCTAGCGTTTTGTGCTCAATTTGGTCACTCCCAAAGTTGCAATATCTGATGATTATAATAAAGTTTATTTCAAGAAGAATGATCTTCTGCCAAAAGTTAGCGCTGTGAATAAATAGGCTAAATTTGATTTTGTCTAGAACAGAATTTGTCTTTTCAGCATATGAGTTCTCCTTGTTCAGAGAGGTTAGATATGATCTCATTGCAGCATTATATAAGATGTAGTCTTGACTCATCATAACTTGTACTTCTCTCAGCCAAGATCAATGGCCTAAGAGCTCTCACTAAGGAAAGGCGGAAAAAAAAAGACATCAAAACCATAATTACCCAATTTGCAGTACATATTAATTGCATCACAACATCAATAGCTCTGACTTTTAACATCAAGTTGTACGTTTCCTATTTTTGTAGCTTATTAGGTCTTGCTGATCCTACTGTTTATACTAACTAAACTGATTATTTTGGCCTTTTATCTCAAGTCCGGTTGATAGGAATGCAAACTGTGTAACAGAAAACTTTGACGATTGAATCATTTCTAAGTTGTGGAATGTTATGTAATTCTTGTTTTGCAGTGGATATATGGCACCAGAGTATGCAATGCACGGACAATTTTCAGTCAAGTCTGATGTTTTTAGCTTTGGAGTACTGGTCCTAGAAATTTTAAGTGGACAAAAGAACACTTGTTTCAGAAATGAAGAATCTGTGGAAGACCTTCTAAGCTATGTAAGTAAATAAGCTAATTGATCAACTACATTTCAATAGTCGGGACCATCCTTATGCATCAAATTGTTTTACATTGTCGATGTATAGAGTTTAAACTCTGAATTATAATATTGCAGGCATGGACGAACTGGCAAGAAGGAACAGCTGCAAATTTGATTGACCCCATGTTTAGGGGAAGTTCAGGACTGGTTCGTGACATCAAGAGATACATCCACATTGCCTTACTGTGCGTTCAAGAAAATATTGGTGATAGACCAACTATGGCTGCAGTAGTTCTCATGCTCAGTAGCCTCTCTCTGAGTCTACCCGTGCCTTCAGGGCCTGCATACTACACGCACAATGATATTAACCCAGAGATTTCACTTATTAAAGAGTACAATTCAAGATCGTCAGAACCTAGAGAATTAGCCAAAAATAAATCTATTTCTTCATCACGTAATGAGGCATCCATAACTGAATTATACCCTCGTTAACATCCTTAGACATAAGACCCCTTTTTTATGAGCTACTTTGTTATTTGTTCGAACTTTAATTAGTTTGGAATTAAGATTGATTTATTAATGGTTTTTGTGGTCCGCACAAAAGGCAACTTGTTTCATATGTATTAGTTGTATTATTACACTAGTAAAATAAGTTCAACTTGTATTGGAACTACCTTTATTTGTTCTTGTAATCTGAAAACTTGAAGCATCTATATGCTGTCTTAAATCACCAAGACCAATAGTCTGACCGTATAAGTTTCCACAGTTAAGAATCTACACTTTTATCTCTCCTATTATATATAATTAAAATTCAAGATTAATTGTGGCCTTGATACGTGACATTTTTATCTCTCCTATTATATATAGGTAATTTTTTAAAAAATTGAAATTGAAGATTAATTGTGGCATTGACATTATTTATAGATATAGATATACTCTCTTTGTCCCATGTTAGTTGATCATAATACTAAATATAGTTGTCTTATAGTAGTTGATTACCTTATTAAATCAAGAAATCATAAATTAGTTATTATTTTTATTTGCAATTAATTCTTTTTGAAAGTGTTCATATTTATTTCTAAAAATTTTGAAGAAATTTTTTATGGGGTAAATTAGTAAAATCATCATCTTATTTATGATTTCTTAAAAACTGTACAAAATAAAAAGTGATCAACTAATATAGAACGGAGAGAGTATACATTAAAAAGGATATAATTAAGAACCTTCACAAAACCTCGTTCTTTTGATCTATTTTTTCAAACTTGTCAATTACTTCGGAAGTTTCAACTCATAGAAAAAAGGGATAAGGGTTTGAAAAATACTTCAACTTTGATTGGATTTGTTGTTGCGATACTAAACTTTCATGAGGACCTATTACCTCCCTAGACTATTTAATACCGTATTTTAAACATATATATTTGTCCACGTGGACATAAAAAATAATGTAAAATTATAAATAGTAATGTGTCCACGTGAGCACATATATACCTTTAAAATACACTATTAAATAGTTCAGGGAATAAAAAATATGGTATTAAATAGTCTAGGGAAATAATAGGTCTTTATGAAAGTTTAGTATCACAACAGCAAATTCGATCAAAGTTAAGGTATTTTCAGACTCTTATCCCTAGAAAAAACCTCCCTATATTTTATCCTTAATTTGCCCACTCTCGTCCTTTTCAGTGTCTTAACTTTTCATTTTTGGTGACCAAGTCAATCCTTGTACTCCCTCTGTCTAACTATAGATGTTTATTAAGAAGCAACATATAATAAGAGTAATTTTACCAAATTATCTCATTAAATATAAGTCATTTAAATATTAAAAAATAAATAGTATTTAATAAGAAGGGTAAAATAGACCCAAAAATATAAATTATTCATTAATTTTATAAACTGAATAAGTATTATTGAAAATTCCAATATAGTATAATGGACAAGTAAAGATAGACGAAAAAATAATAAAATTGAACACGGAATTTTGAGTCTTTTTGACTCTGTAGCCATTCTATTTATATACTTGTGCTTGACGTATAGTTTTGCGCAGACGATGGGGAATACAGCTATGAGTTTCTTGAAATGACTCATCGTTCTAATGTTCCAATTGAAATAACACCAACGCTCTCTGAGATAAGTGTATTAGTTGATTTATTTATCAATTAAATATTTTAGTAATTACTTTCTCCGTCCAATAATAATTGTCCACTATATTAGTATAGTATTTTAAGATATTCAATAATATTTGTCCACTTTATGAAATCAATGGATAATTTTACACTTAATTCTTAATTTACCCTTATCATTAATTATAGTCATTTATCTATTACATTTTTCAAGACATTATATTTAGTACTCCCTTCGTTCCATTTTATATGTCACATTTTTACTTTGCACTTGCATTAAGAAATGATGAAACTTTACCTTTCTACCCTTATTTAATGTTTACTTAAGTCAACTTTATAATAAATGATGAATACATTTTCAAGATTAATTAACTACTCTATCAAGGATATAATAGGCAAAATATGGTAATTTATGCATAAATTTTATAAAATGACAAGTATTGTGGTCCAGCTATTTATAGAAAAGGATGATATATAAAATGGACGGAGGGAGTATAATCAAAGGATGATATAGTAAAATTACCTTTCTATTTTACACTCCCTTTGTCTCAATTTATGTGACTTACCTTTCTTTTTAGTCAGTCCCAAAAATATTGACACATTTCTATATTAAGTAACAATCTAACTATAAAATGTCTGTTTTACCCTTAATGAAATAGTTTACAGTCACACAAATTTCTATCATTCATTTTGGACCACAAGTTTTAAAAGTCTTCCTTTCTTTCTTAAACTCCGTGCCGAGTCAAACTACCTCACATAAAATGAGACAGAGGGAGTAGTTTCTTAATAAATGTGCAAAATCAATAGTGGACAACTATTATTAGATAGAGGGAGTACTATTATTTTTATCACTGATAATAACTATTTTCGTGTAGGTGTACACCACGAAATAATATAACGACCCACTAGCTATCTTAAAAAAGACATATGTTCATCGAATTTATATACAAATTTTACAAAACACTATTTTCAATGGACAATAACTTCTTAATGTGTATGTAACGGTGAAAAGATGGAGGCTACAATTTCTTAAAAAAGAAGGCGAAAAGCCAAAAATTTAAGATATGAAATATTTTGCAAATCATAATCAACATTTAAATTATAACCATAATCTAAGCTTGTGTATATTTTCTCTTCAGTTTCTGTGCAAAATATCGCACACTAATTATAACTTGTTAAAAATATTTATACTAACTCGCATGGGTGGCACGTGTTGGAAAACTTGTAGATTAATAAAAGTTAGATGGGATGACTTTTGGTGGACCGAAGAATAAAGAAGCTTCACAGAAGCGCGTTTTTTTAAATTTTCAAGGCATAGAAAGCCACCTCCATCCTTTTCATTGACGAAGAAGTCCGTAGTCAATTTTTGAAATAAATAAAATTGAGCATGAAATTTTTGAAGGTGTAGTAGCCATTCTATTTATACAATTGTCTCTGATACATTAGATAGTGAAGAGAGCTATGAGTTTCTTGAAATGGCTGGTTTTTGTAATGTTCCAATTTAATTACATTTTTCACCTCAGCATAGCACAGCCTGAATTCGAATTTCATGTATGTGCAGATTCTAATATTACTGAGTTTTCCCCAAATAGTGCATATGACACTAACCTTAACACAACCCTCTCCTCTGTTTCACGAAATATGGATAGTTTTGGATTCTATAATACTTCCATAGGCCTAAACTCCGACACGATTAGTGTCATCGCGCAATGTAGAGGGGATGTACAATTACAGGTATGCCGTGATTGTATAAATAATGCGACCCGTAAGATTCTAGAGGTATGTCCTTACAAGAAATCGGCCTTTGGTTATTATGAAAGTTGTCAGCTACGATATTCAAATGAGTCCATCATAGGCACCGTGTTAACAAACCCGAAAAACATTTTGTATAGCACGGCAAATGCCTCGAATCCCGATTTTATGGAAGATGTAAGAACCTTGTTAGAAAGTTTACGAAGTCAAGCTTCACAGGGCGGTAAGAAGAAGTACGCTAGTAATAGTACTCGGGGCCCTGATTTTCAGACTATATATGCACTTGTACAGTGCACTGCGGATTTATCAGCTGAAAGTTGCATCAATTGTTTAAGCGCTGGCTATCGAACTTTACCTAACTGTGAATGTTATGGTAAGATTGGTCTCAGATATAGAATGCCCAGCTGCAAATTTCAGTATGAAATTAGCCTCTTTTTCAACCAGCTACCGACAGAAGCTCCGCCACCCTTATCACCACCGCCACTTCCATCATCACTGCCTCTGCAGCCGCCGCCACCACCACCACCATCAGGTATGTCAAATCTTCATGAAATTGTTAGCCAGTTCAACTCTTAAATTGCTAAGTCATGCTTTTACAGGAAAATAATATTTTTAAAGAAGAAATAGACGCTTTTGAAATTTTGAGATTTAAATCATATTGTAACATTTATGTGATAAGAAGACTTTTAAAATTGGTGATATTAAAATATATCCTAACATTGAGTGGTAATATAATCTTGTTATTAAGAATAAAATGAGAAGCTTAACTAAATTATTTCCAAATTTATGAAGTGATCATTATTTTAGAAACACGGACACAACAAAAAGGAAATAGGGTCACATAAACTAAAACAAAGTATAGCCTAACCAATACTAACTTGAAGAGTTCCTGCAGGAGAGGATGATAAAACAAATCGAACCGTCATCATTATCAGTGTGTCAACTGTTACAGTTGTTATTCTTGTTGTTTGTATTACTCTCATCATGATGAGGAGGCGAAAGAGGAAGCTAGTGAAAAATATTCAGAGTAAGGCGTAGCTTATTAACAGGCAATGATTTCGGAAAGTTGAACTGTTAAGACTGTATTTCACTGAAATTTTGTTGTATGTTTTACTACTACTTTGATGAAGGTATACATGGGGATGATATTACCACTGCAGAATCCTTTCAATATGATTTTTCAACAATTAGAGCAGCAACAGATAACTTCTCAAGCAATAATAAATTGGGACAGGGTGGATTTGGTCCTGTGTACAAGGTGATTGCTGATTTAGCCTACTTGATGCATAAAAGGACACTGTGACTGACTGACATCATATAGCTGACTCTTTCTTCAACTCATAATTTTTCAATTTGCGCTCTCGTCTGCTTCAGGGTAAGCTTCCAAATAGTCAAGAAGTAGCAGTGAAAAGATTGTCATCAGATTCTGGCCAAGGTGATCTGGAATTCAAAAATGAGGTCATGTTGGTTGCTAGACTTCAACACAGGAATTTGGTTAGGTTACTGGGATTTTGCTTCGATGGAACAGAGAGACTGCTTATCTATGAATATGTTCCCAATGCAAGCCTTGACCACTTTTTATTTGGTATGAATTAACATATTGCTTAATGTTTTGTCGGTATAATATGACATGTTGACTGTCGTCTAGCTATCTGCCTTATTATTCTGGAGAACTAATCCACTTGTTACAGGTAGTTACCTATAGTAATAGTGACTTGATGTGAAGCTCAATTCATAATTATATTTTTCATCTTGTTCCCAGATCCAGTTAAACGTAGGCAATTAGATTGGGAAAGGCGATCCAAAATCATAGGAGGCATTGCTAAGGGAATTCTTTATCTACATGAGGATTCTAGACTTCGCATAATTCATCGTGATCTCAAAGCAAGTAATGTTCTACTTGATGAAGAAATGAATCCTAAAATTGCAGACTTTGGCATGGCAAGGCTATTTACATTGGATGAAACTCAAGGCAACACAAGTAGAATTGTCGGGACCTAGTAAGTTTTACACCTCTGAATATTATAGACTGTTACTCCTTTTTCAGATCACTGGGAAGAACTTTTAACCATTTAACCAGATTTAAAAGCTGCCTCGAGATAAAAGCAAATCATTCCTTGAAAGAATGCTTCAATATTGTTGGACTAGGACTAGGACTAGGACCTAGTAAGTCCGGTTTATAGGAATGCGAACTATGTGTAACAAAAAACTTTAACAATTGAATCATTTCTAAGCTGTGGAATGTTATGTAATTCTTGTTTTGCAGTGGATATATGGCACCAGAGTATGCAATGCATGGACAATTTTCAGTCAAGTCCGATGTTTTTAGCTTTGGAGTACTAGTCCTAGAAATTTTAAGTGGACAAAAGAACACTTGTTTCAGAAATGGAGAATCTGTGGAAGACCTTCTGTGCTCTGTAAGTAACTAAGTTAATTGATCAACTACATTTGAATAGTTGGGACCATCCTTATGCATCAAATTGTTTTACATTGTCGATGTATAGAGTTTAAACTTTGAATTATAATATTGCAGGCATGGACGAACTGGCAAGAAGGAACAGCTGCAAATTTGATTGACCCCATGTTTAGGGGAAGTTCAGGACTGGTTCGTGACATAATGAGATACATCCACATTGCTTTATTGTGCGTTCAAGAAAATATTGGTGATAGACCAACAATGGCAGCTGTAGTCCTCATGCTCAGTAGCCTCTCTCTGAGCCTTCCCGTGCCTTCAGGGCCTGCATACTATTCACACGATAATATTTGCCCAGAGATTTCACTCATTGAAGAGTACAATTCAAGATCGACAGAACCTAGAGAATTAGCCAAAAGTAAATCTATTTCTTCATCACGTAATGAGGCATCCATAACTGAGTTATACCCTCGTTAACATTCTTAGGCATAATACCCTACTTTTCTGAGCTACTTTGTTATTTGTTCGAACTCTAATTAGTTTGGAATTGAGATTGATTACTCCGCACAAAAGGCAACTTGTTTCAACTAGTATTGGAACTACCTGTTTTTGTTCTTGTAATCTAAAATCACCAAGACCAATAGTCTAATGGTATAGGTTTCCGCAGTTAAGAATCTAAACTTTTGATATGAAACTTTGGAGGTATTCTTTGCGAATCAAATTCTTGTATAAAATTTTCATCTAATTCACCCTTTTCTTGTAGTGAAATTGGCAAGAACCCATTTATATTGCATTAGTAACTTATTAAAGAGCCATTTGTCCAGGAGAATTATTTACTTTTCTTAGTGAAATAAGTTTTTATTTTATTTTAAAATCAGTGTTTGATTATAAAATTTTCAAATTCACTTCGAGTTGAATTCCAAAATTAGAGAAGTGTTCCAAACTCGTTTTACAACTCCATATTCACAATTTCCAAATAAAGAACTCTATTCTCTTCATTGCAAAAAAATATAACCAAGCAAAATGTTGTATTCAACTCCAACTTAATAAATTTAAATAAAATAAAAAATATTGGAATTTATGGCTAAATGTCTACTCAATTGCACTAAAATAGAAGGTCAGAATATCTATAGCTTTGCAAATATGAAAGGTAAAAAGAGTTCAAGGGTATAATGGTAATACCTTTTTATATAAGATCATGAAATCACAAACTTTAAATGGAAAATACCCTAAAATATCCTTGAACTATTGAAATTGATACAAAATTATCCTACGTTAATCTATTAGCCACAAAATATCCTTGACATTCACCTTTATGATACCATAGTACCCTTATTACAAACGGTCTCATTAATTGGATTAATTAACCTTCTCATTAAATATGTGGCACGTTTTGATTCATTGGATAGATAATTATTCAAAATTAATTTAACCCATCCCAAATTTGGATCCTTAAATGGCCCGACCCAACTAAAAAATCCATTATTCTAAAGGGGCATTCCATTAACCTAAAACTTCCCAATGTTCTTGAAGTTGCTTTCTTCTTCTTCCTCTCTATCCTCTGAAGTTATCCAACTTTACTAAAATAATTATCAAGTTAAATTTCCTGGAAGTACACATAACTTCAAGTTATGTGGGCCTAGGACTGTTCATGGTTATGGTTATAAAACCAAACCAAACCGCCATTCGAACCAAATCGATTAAAAAAATCGATATTTGATTTGATTTGGTTAGGTTTGATTTTAAATTTTGAAAAATTGCTATTATTTGGTTTAGTTTTGGTTTTACTAAAAACTAACCACAAAAATAACCAAACCGAACCGAGAAGTTATATATATAAATTTTATAATTATTTATAAATAAAATATAAGTATTTTGATAAATTTTAATCAACTTAAGTCTTTATTTTACTATTTTCTGAAGTTCAACGTTTAAATTTTAGCCCAACTATTAAAACCTAATCTAAATCCCTCAATATTCATTACTTTAAAATCACACTCTCTTTGTATTTTATAAAATTTTCTAACACAACATTGAATAATTTAAAGCTCAAGCTAAAGAAGATGGTAATTGATTAGTTTTTACTATGAAATATTGGTTGTTTTTTTTAGAAGTAATTCTCCAATATTTTAAGATGTAATTTTATTGAAAAGTCTCTCCAGAATATTGAACCAACTGTATGCTATTGACAATGAGTTTTTTTAGTTTCTGAAACTTGGTAGATTTGATGAATCACTTTGTTCGTGTAATAGCTTATTTGTGAATTATTCATGTACTAAGTGTTTGTGTCTATCGAGATGCGTATTCCTCAACAAACTTATTACTTTTGAATCGAAAAAACCTAACCAAACCGACTGTTATTTTTATGATTTGGTTTGGTTTGATTTTAGAAATTTAAAAATCGATTTAAATTGATTTGGTTTTAATTTTAACTAATAACCGATCTAAATCAAACCATGAATACTCCTGTATGTGGCATTGGTTCAAGCGGGAAAAGTTGCCATCCTCAACCTACACAAAGACTAAAAGCAGAGCCGTATTTGAAAAGGAGCTTATTCTAAATCACTAATTTTTACCTATTCGCAAATCACTAATTCCTCTTTCTTGGAGCCGATAATTTGCTTCGCATTCTGTTTGGATTGATTGTAAACCAGGGAATCTGAAATAACCACATCAAATCGAGTAGTTCTTCGTGAAAATAGGATTTTGTTCTTTCTTGGACATTTTTTCAGATAAATGAATAACTGTTGTTTATCATTTTCCTTGAAAGTTTAGCAAAAAATTCGATCTGGTGTGTATTTTGGGTATATTAGTTATTCTTGATCGTGCTTTGTTTAGTATTCTTGAAAATTCAGCAAAAAATTGATCTTTGTGTGTTTTGGGGTAAATTAATTGTTCTTGGTAGTGCTCTGTTTAATATTCATGAAACTTCAGCAAAAAGTTCATTTTTGGGTATATATCAGTTGTTCTTGGTCATGCTCTGTTTAATATTCTTGGAAATTCAACAAACAAAAAAAATCGATCCGAGTGTGTGTGTTTGGGGTGATAAAATGGGTTTTAAATGATTTTGGGGCGGGTCTGATTTTGGGAATGAGTTGGGTTTTTAATTAATTTAGGTTAATTAAAATATGACCAATAAATGACTGCCACATCATTAATGAATTTATTAAATGAGTTTAAATTGGTAGCAGTTTGGGATAAGGATAATATAGGGCCATAAAGGTAGATGTCAAGGGTATTTTGTGGTCAATATGTTAACGGAGAGTTGTTGACACTCAATTTTGGACCTCTACAATATAGATTAATGTCGAGCTTCTTCAATTTCAAGCAATTTAAAATAATTAACGTTATAAGATTTCAAGAAAAATAAAATAGTTTGCAAGTTATTTTATATAGTTTTATATGTTTTAGATAATTATGTATATAATTAGTATATTTTATAAATTTTCAAAAATCGTCTCAAAAAGATTTTAAGTTTACTTAATTAGTTGATTAATCGGTTTAGTTAATTAATACTTATTTTTTGAGTTATTAGTTTATAATTAAGTTAATTATTTTATTTAGTTAAAATTAAGAAGCTCATTAATTAATCAATATTAATTCATCTTATTTAAATTTTAGTCAAATTCCCTAAATTAAACTCAAGTTGGCTAACTTCTTAATTCCCATTTGGCCATAATTGCATCCATGTGGCTATTTTTCCTAACTCAATTTAAACATGTGTAACTTACAAAAATAGCTATAATTTTAGGGTTATTAGATTGAAATAGCTATAAGTATCATATTTACAAAAAATAGCTACACTTTGTGTTACAAAATGGCTATATCCATATATATGTGTTTTTTCTTTTAATACAAAAATTAATTTGCCACTAAATAAGGTAAATTGGTTAATGTAACTGACAAGGCTTTTTTCCATCCCTTAAACCCACAAATTTGGCACTTTAAATATGTAATTGACCACTACCTTTTAGGATTCTTATCAGTTTAAAAATAAAAATTATGTTTGCTCTTTCTTCTTCAATTGACGCCTAAGAAAAATACAATTCAATGGCTACCATCACAGTTTTGATCCGGCATTCCGGAAAATGGAGCGAAGAGAATTGCTATGTAGAATATAGCATTGACAGGATAGTGTTGAAGGAATATGCTTCATATTCTGATTTATGGCAGTATGTATATTAATGAAAGGTTAATTTTTTGTGAGAAAAATAATATTTCTAGTATTCAGTTGATTATGCTTTCATTTATTTAAGTATTTAATGTATAGAATGTATAAATGAAATTACGTATAGATTCTAGGTTGTCCCGTCACCTGATTACATTTATTTAGTACGTGATGAAGGGAAGACTTATATCGTATGCTTGGAAAAGAAGACTTGCAATTGCAACAGGTTTCAAGTTGACGGAATATCGTGTGCACATGCGTGGAGGGTGTTGAAAAAAAACATTCTTCTAGATGAATATTGTTCAGACTTTTACAAGCCAGAAACAATATTGAAAACATATGAAGTGCATGTGTATCCTCTCCTTGACAAAAGTGAATGGAATATACCTGAACACATTGCTACTGAAGGTGTGTTGCCACCAAAATACAAGTGACCTCCGGGAAGGCCAAAGAAGCAACGGGAGAAGTCATTTAGCGAGTTGAGTAAAAGGAAGGGTACAAATTCTTATAGTACATGTGGACAGCATGGTCATAATAGGCAGTCCATGTCAAACTGCAACACGGAATGCATAGGACCTGATACATCCCACTATTGAAGTGTTCTTTTACTTAATTATCGTTATGTAGAATAAATGAATAAAAAATTTCTTATTTGCCTTTTGAAATATTTGTTTCTTTGTTTACTTGCTTAAATTATAAATTAACTTGAATATTATCTCAATACTCAATTTGATACTATTAATATGTATTGACACACCCAAACTACTGATAATACGTGAATATAGTTATACTTGATAATATATTGGTGAATACATATATAAAACAGTTATACTAGTGAAAATTTTGATTAATATAACACACAACCTATAAAAATAGAAAAGGAACAATGTTCTCTGTATACGCTTACATATTATTTACTTTAAAAACATATAATAATGTAATTACTACCAACATTTATTGTATGTTTATCACTTTTAAGAATGTAAGTATCCAAATTTCTTTAAGCAATAACTGATGATAAATGAATATAATAATACTTGTGTATATTTTGATATGAAAAAGACTCTAGCATACATTTATACTATTGAATATGTTGATAAAAAAACACAGGTGAACAAATTGATTACCAAAAGTAGATATCCAAGTGTATATCTGAACTGTACATTTATACAAACACACATCCATCTCTTCCTACCATTACATTGAATGCAATAACTCCAACAACAAGTTTAACAAAGTAGCTATCAAAACAGTAATGCAACATGATCATATATAAATAGAAGAGTTGATAATGTTTGACAAAAAACAAAAATATTAGTTTTAACCATAAGCATTAAATAGAAGTTCAAAATGATAACTA